ATGAGGAACAAAAGAATAAAAAAAAGTTGAGAACAATTTGATAGTACAACATTGCCAACATGGCTAAAGTACTTAAGCCGTAACTCTGGCACTACATCAGCATTTTCTATCTAATCACGCCTGGCAGTTTCACCCCAAGTTAAGTAAAAGTAACCTTTGTGATAGGAGCAACATGCATTACCAAACGGGCAACCCAAAACGTATCTCACAGATGCACTGAAAAAAAACGTCAATCAGCTTTTTAGTTTAGGAGCAATGAAGTTCATTAAATCATGATTCAATCCACAACGCTCTTCATTTTCCTTGCTTCTATCTGCAGTTGTATTACTAAAACCAGAGAAAACAGAGCAAGATGAAAATGCTACATACCAGCATGATGGAAACAAAGGAGATATGGCAACAGAATAACAAATTTCAAAAGGGTTAGGAGGTTATGTTAGAATTATTCCAATAACACTACTAAACCTGGGTGCGGTACATCTCCCCGGTCTTTGGCTGGGCAATCGCCTCCTGGCCAAAGAATCCAGAGAAAGACTTTTAAAATGGTTTTTAAAGTAACAACCGGTGTTGCAATAATGTTGAGAACACGAGCAAGTTCTAGGCGAATGCAGCGGCTCCTTTTGAGCACGCGGCAAGGTCCGAACTAGTAACACAGAGAACCTTGCAGATCCTGCCATGCTGCAGCCGCTGCCTTCGGCATTCAGCTATTGCTCTGCCAGTTTGCTGAAGTCAAACAACTGACGTTCGGTTTTCCTGCGTTATCAAGAACAGGCCTCCTGACCTCTTCTTCCATTTTCCTCCACGAGGGGGAGTTTACCGGCTCTAGTGCATTTCCCCCCCCCACCCTCCCCACCCCGATGTTTCGCGAAGCAACAAGGGAGCAGAAAACTTGCAGCCAGCGAGTGGGAGGAAGTCTACAGACAAGCCAGCTGGGCTTGTCAGGACAGCAAACGCACAGAACAGATAAAGACCGTGGATCAAAACAAGCACGCGGCTAAAGCATCTTGCATCCGTGACGCTGGAAGTAGTACAGAGCTCTCACGCCACCGAGAAATTCTTGCGAGGGCCAAGAGCCAAAAATGGCCTGCCTCGAAATAAATCAAGTTCACAAGCTTTAAAATGATCTGGATAATTACCCGTACTTCTGATGATGAGTATTTTTACTTACGAGTCAAAACTGTTTGTATCACGTGGGGTGGGTGCAGACTGGGGTTTTAAGACATTCAGAGAACAAAAAAATATCGCTGTGCGGTTTAAGGAGCGCTTGCTATAGAGCATACTTCAACTGTGCTGCAAAATTAAGAGGAAGAAAACCACCTGTCTGGGCATTATGACGGGACATTACCCCAGCCACAGTTGCATAACGTCACCCCACTCTCTCTCTGCTGGAATAGATTGGAAATAACAAATGCTACATTACTTCAAAGTAAGTGCTACATTTGCGTCTTCACTAGGGCATTTAACTCAAGAGGACGCACTGGGACAACACGCAGGTTTCCCAGGAGAAACGTAATGGAACAAGGGAGAGACAGGCGAGAGAACAGCCATCGATTCTTACTTACGGCCAGCTAGAGGTGAAAGCAGGTTAGATTTCTGCACGTACAGTCATGTATAACGTTAAAACCCCGTTTTCCAAGAAATCGCCTTCCTTCCATAAATATGTATCCCGTTCCACTAAAATAGATGATAAACTATTTGCAGCATGATCTATTTTGGTGTACTATGTGGAGCCAACCACAACATCAGTACTAAATAAAACCTCCTGCTACCCCATCTTCCCTTGCTAGGCATTCTCCATAAAAATACCTCCTTCTACCTGTCTGTAGTCATGTTTTAGATTAAACAACCTTTTTTTCTATATAGACTTTTTCAACTGTACATTGACTATAAAGTGCATGATTATTGCAATTTAATTTACCAGAAACAGGGATGACTACGATATCGCAACTGCATGTCGGAACCATCTCTAAAACACAAAGTTAAATCATAAAGCTTATTTAGCATGATCTCCTTTAAACAACAAAAAAAAGGAACTTGTTAGAGGAAATAATGCTTCTCTGATTCTTAGTAAATGTCCTCACACATAGCACAGAAAAAGCCTTGTATTCTTATTCCTACCAGTGTTACTACCCCATAACACCACTTTTGTCAAAGAGCTTACACCGGTAAAGCAGATTTGTCTTCCCCTTGTTGAAATGGTTCGTGCTGGTATAAGCACTTTCATACTAGCTTTAAGCGTTTTTAACATCTATTCTGTGGTTTCTGCTCCGTGGCTTCTGTTTATTAGTTACACGCACACAAGACAAAAACGTGAGATCAGAAATATTAATTTTGGCAACAGCTTCTCGAGCCTTGCAAACAACCCCGCGCTTAACTCCCTCCCCCACTAATCCCTGCTGTAATTCCTCCGACTAGAGCTACGTCAGGAATGAATACGGTCCTTTGTCTTTGCAAGAGGATGTTAAGGTTTCCAGGAGTTTGGGGGGTCTGGGAGGGGGTGGAAGGGAAGCAAAAATTAAGATAAAATGGCATCTAGAAAATTGGAGACTATCCTATAAAAAAATATTCTTGATGAGCAGTCCAGTATGCAACTGATGTAGAATTACTGCTGGTTTTCGTACGTTCTGACCTATCAGATACAATCAAAGGCACACCGCATCTCAGAAAGAATTAAAAAAAAAAGAAAAAGAAAAAATCTTAAGGAATAATTCTCATATACAAAACCCGCCTGTTCCTACCAAAGGAGGAACAGAGTTTGGAGCGAGGAAAGCTAGGAACGATGCCAAGCAGCTCACACCGCACAACAAACGTTTACAAATGAGAAGCAGTTTCAGAGTAATTATCCTCAGATGTTTGCTGTAGACTAAGCTGCACGGACCATCCTGAAAACAATCTGGTCTAATTTCGTTCATCCATTAAGCAGATAAATCTGCTTAGTCTTCCCCAGGTCAATGGACAGCAGACTACCTATTAAAAGTGTTTTCCAGCAAAAACTGCTGTCATTGCAACAGGTTTTAAAGTAAAGGTTCCTTACATACATCCATACAGGCAAATATTTGCACAGTGTTACAATATTCACGTGGTAATTGCAGGCAATCAGGTCAAAACAGATGCTGAGAAATGATCTGTGATTTACAGAGCTTCTAAAACCAGTGATTAATGCAGAATTTTAAAGATGAAGGACTCAAAACTCTGCACGTTTAAAGACTGCTTAGAGTAGAAAAAATAGAATTTCAGATTCCCGCAAAATTTGCAAACAATTCATGAACATCACATTTCCAGAAAGAATTTAAATTATGACAACTAAGCTACCAATTTGTGAAAGATGGGGGATAACGGTAAACACAACACAAATCTAACAAATCTTCTCTTTCCTGATTTACATACACACACCCACAGCAACACGGTCGTCCGGATGCAAGTAAATTATGTAAAAAAAGAAAAAAGTCCATCAAGCAAAACAGCACTAACACTTCTTTCCATGTATCCATTCGCATGTTTAATCCTGGACCACAATCACCTTGTCGCAAGTATTCTACTTCACTACCTGCAGGAAGGCAGTAAGCTTTATATTTTGAGTACTGGGGATGCCAGGATTTAACTGCATCACCACTAATACACCGTCTTCAAAACACACACTTACCATAGAAACAAAACAGCTACAGTTAATTCAGATTCCTCCTGAAGCAAGTAACTAACATGCTGTACCAAAACTATAACTCGTCTTCTTTACAGTTAATACATTTGCAGAGTTAAATGAAAAAGCCGTATTCCTACACCTGTGAGAACCAAAGAAAACAACCTCATGCAAAAAAAAAAAAAGGATATTCAAGAGAAAACAGGTTTACAGTCCCGTCTTTCTGAATACAACCATCGCAGTGTATTTGTTCTTCTTTTGATACAGAACGGATCGGAAACACAGGCTCCGGGTCATTCAGCTCTGGGGTCTTCCACCAGTTCTACTAGCTAAGGGGAAGCTATATACAAATCAAAACACAATTCTTTAACGTGAAGAGACGCTCGCAGCATCAGTCCAAAGAGATGAAGCGCCAGCCGAGAAGGCACACGCGCTCTCGCGCTTCCACAACTCGCGGGCTCTGCCGAAAGGAATCGCTGCCGCGCTGCTAGGCTGGGAAAGCCAAACCCGCCTTCCCAACTCGGTACGACACGGAAAAGCCGAGCGCGCTGGAACATAAGCAAGGGTGTTCAAAGCACAGCAAGGGCTGCAGAGACAGGAAAACTGAGACAAAAAGAAGCTAACGCAGCAGCAAGCTGGAGATGAGCCACCCTGCCAGAAATGGCCCGTTTTCTTTTTCTGGAGGCAACACTTCTATGGCAAGGCTCTTTCATAAACAAGCATTAGCTGGAAAATATATCAGTCCGCTAAGGATAAGCGGGGGAATAATAAGGCGAAATGAAGGAAATAAAAAAATGAAAATCAAAAAGAAAACGTGAAGGGCAAGGACGACGAGAGAGGGAACAGAAACGTTTTGTTCGTTTAACAGCACTCTGCGTTGCCTGGAAGGCGACAAAAGCCCAAATCCCATGCTCTCATGTGCTCCCCGCAACGCAAATGTGGAAAAAAGCATGCAAACTTTGAGAAACTGTGGGACCTTCACAAATCTTACTAAAAATGGAAAAGGGTAGCCAATACTAATACGGTAAGGGAAGAGAGCAGAGACGTGTAAGGAAGTCGCAGCTATTTTTAGAATTGCAACGCTTCCAAAATTACATCTGTTTAATAACAATTTTCCAAAGAAGCAAGGAGATTTAAAACACGTATCCAAGACACTCAGGTATCCCTAACGTTTGATTGCAACACTTTCTAACCCAACTGCCTCGGTTTTTAATCGTAACATGCTCTGAATGTATGCTTTCATCACATTTCTTAAGACTTGCAATAATTTTAATAACATAGTTATGTTGCATTGCAATTTTCATTAAACTACTGAAAGTCCACTCCTGAGGTAAGGCAGCTTTTCCCACCAGCTATCCCGTGCCTTTCCCCTGATCGGCCAGAGCACAAGTTTCCTGACAGTGCAGAGTGATGAAAAGTAGTTTGTCTGAAAAGAGCTCAGGCTTCATTAATAAAATCACCAGACCGCGGCTCAGAAGACAGACACCGCCTTTCAGCCAAGAGAAGGAAAACAAGAAAACTAAAAGCAAGCAGAAGCAATTCAATCAGATGCAGACACTTTTAACAAAGAACCGTCCTGTGCTTGTTCTGGCGACGTTTATCCCCAGAACCACCAAATCACATATTTCACGTCCAATTCCAAAGCCACTGATCTACACTCCATGATGTTACCAAAGGCTTTTTTGAACCCGTTCGTAGCTTTAAACTCCACAACATCTTGCAGCAGCGTGACAGCATCACTATGAGCGGTACAACAAAAGACGTTTCTCCTTTTCTTTTGTTTTCAAGTTGTTGCCCAATCGTTTTTGCGCTTCTTTCTCTTGACCTGTGAGAAATAATGAAGTGTTTCTACCAAAAAAAATGATTTTTCTCCATCAGTTATCTTTCCAAGATGAAGAATCCTAGCATACTTCATGGTAAATTACTTCGAAACAACATTTAGTTTGTTCCTTCGTCATTCCCACCTGCACCTCAAAGTTTCAAAGGCAGAAAACGAGAAAGAAACATCCAATCGCATCAAGCAACAACAAAGCTGAAATACTGTCAGTACAGATACCTTGCAACTGCACAACTGAAAATGAACGACCGCAAAAAGCACATAACCAGTTACTGAAATAGGAAGGAACTGGTTTTCTAATATTATAGGACGTATCTCAGCTTTAAGTACAGACGTTACCCTGAAAAACCTCCTAGTTTTGCCTTAAAGTCAGTCAGCAGCAATCCCTGAGTGTGCAGAGTAAAAGGAAAATGCCTAATACTGTATTTAGATTATGATAGACCACTGTGAACTCTGAATTGTGTGCGTGGATATTCACAACTCATTAAAGCACTTCAAAGAGCTAAATCCTAAAACACAAGGTCGCAAAAATTAGAGAAAAAAAGACCTATAAGGTAAAACTAATTTCTTCTACCACTATTTTATTAAAAACTTTCTCCTGATTTAAGCTGTCAACCCTGAGAACTGCACATGAGAGGTTAGAGGGACAGTTATGACAAGCAATAGTTTGAAATGTCTCATCGCTATTAATATTTTATGATTAAAAAAAAATTTGCGCTGCGCATAGATCATGCGATACAAACACTGCGATCTTCTGAGTACTACTTTGCTCATAAAAGGTCGACTTATCTTTCACATGTACCACGTCTCCCTTCTACCCCAAATCTTCCTCTTACTCCTCAAACTATTTTACCCTGCACACCACCGAGCAGAGGTCCACTAATCCCATTTTAAGATCATCTTAATTAGACTATAAAACATACGACCTTACGGTACACTGAATGGACAAGGTGGGAGAAGTGGACGTTTCTAGTAAAGCATGCACTTCTGCAGTTCCTAACTCCATGTTCATGATAATTTAATAGTTGTAGTCAATAGTTTCTTTGCTACCAATAAATTTTGCTCATTTCGAAAATGCTTCTTTTCAACTGTAGGACTAGGTGTTGCACAAATTCTGATAAAGGTATTTCTCCCCCACTGCCTCCTATCCTTCTCTTTTTTTTAATGCATTAAAGCATAAAGCCTGAGTACAATGAGTACAATGAATGAGTACAATGTAATTTATTTCTAATTATTTAGGCAAATGCAAGTTTTATGTATTTGATGGCAAGCTGAGCTTTGCAAACTGGAAATTCTTAAGAATAATTTTGCTTAAAACAAACAATGCATTTTCATGTTAGCTTTCTTTGTTACATTATTAGAAGTACATTGTAGATCACTTGAGCAAAATCACTGCCCAGAAATTCTGTCTTTCTCCTGTCTCTCTTGCTCTCTCAAAGAAACTATCTTAGAACTAATACACATTTCATTTGTATAATAACAACAAATAATGCTTTTTTGTTATCATCTATCCTCTTATAAATGCCACTAATAAAACTGCTATGATCCACCATATTTGGAAAAGCATAGAAATTTAAACCGTGCTGTCATTCCTCTTGCCACTTGGCTTTCCTCTTGGCTTTCCTTCCTCTTGCCACAAGCATTTAAGTCAAGTCATCACACACAAATCTTAATTCTCTGAGTTTAAATAGCTGCATTATAATTTCCATTCGCACGCGAAAAGTAGATTAAACTGTGTTAAAACTTCTTTTAAGAAAAGTATCTATAGTAATTATTGCTACACCCAACCTTCCTTGTTAAGATGCAAATGGTGTTTAACATGTACATTCTTAATATTACCTACTGCACTCGACCCCCATCAAGCGAGCCTTTCTTTCTCTCCGTGCCCTGGTTTCACCAATTTCAAAAGTATACTCTTAACCTTCACTTACACGTGCTTCCTGTGGAACTCCAGAATTTTTCCTTGAATTCTTTCCTGGTTTGGCAAATACTGATTTGTTTTAAGGTGTTCTTGATCCTCTGATTCATCAAAATCCCCTATTTCAGCTATAACAGAAAATAAAACAATGTTAGAATAAAAAGAAACAATGAAAAAGAAAGAATGGCAGACCTTGAAAATAAGGAATTACAGAAACCCCGAGAGCAAGACTGTATTTGCTTTTAAGTGTTTCAAACTTGCGCATTATGGTTTGTACCCAGTTTAATTTTAAAACACACTGACATTTACCCCGAGCACATTTCCTGTGGGTTACAGTAATATTTGAACACCGTTTGAAAAATTTAGACTTCCTTAAAGTCTAAAGATTTGGGACTTTGAGGATGTCTAAACATTTTTTGCTTACAGACGCCTCATAGCAAATCAGCATATTTCAATTTAATTTTTCTACATATATGTAAAATAGTTACGGATATGCCTAGCTGTGAAGAAAGTAAATGAAATTTTAGGTATTGTTCAAAAATAAATACAGAGCAAAAGAGGAAACAGTGTTATGTCACTCAATAAATCCATACAGTGCCTACATCTGGATTTTTGGTCGTACATTCACACCTCTCAGAAATGGTGCTGTAGAATTGGGAAAGATTTACAGAGCAAAAATTACTCATCAAAAGCATGGAAGAGCATACACTTGATGAGATATAAAAGAGACTAGAAGTCTTCAGCTTGGAAAAGAGAAGTTATGAGGCAGGGCATGTTGCAGAGGTATATAAAAATTACAACGTGAATGAAAAAAGTAAGTAAGAAATAGTTATTCAGTATTTCCAATAGTAAAATATGAAGTTACCAAACAAAATTAAAAGGTAAAAATTTTAAAAAAAGGAAAAGATGCACATGTTCGTACACATCCCCCAAAAATAAGCTCTGAAGCGCATTTCCACGGAAAGATGCCAAAAACATAAGCAAATTCAAAAACTAGTCAGACATACATCAAAGCAAAGTTCATTAAGGGCAAACAAACAAAAAGATGAGGAGCCAGTCTTTGACTTGCAAAGCCAACATGCAAAGATTACTGAACGGATACAGCAAAGAAAGCATCACCATATGCTTGCTCTGTTTCTTATGTCTTCCCCTAAGCATCTGCTATCAACTCCTGTCAGAGAAAGGAGAGTGGACCAGGTGAACTAATAATCTCATCTGAGACACCTCTTCTTAAGAAGAATAATACGGCAATAGCGTGTTTAAAATCGAATCAGCTTACCAAAAATAAAACCAAGAAAAAAATTGGAAGGTGCTTATGTAAAATAATTTATGTTAAAAATAACCACGTTCTTTCTCACTCGTACTTTTCTAGTGCAGTAGAAACAAGACAAGCAAGGCCACAGACACTGATATTTCCTCAGCAGCTCCACGTTGCCCTGGAATTCTCCCAAAAATCGATACTGGAAAATGATTAGCAAATTTTAATTGTGCAACTCGCAGCACACACAAGACAGGTTTCGCCTTCCAATAAGATGAGATAACTGTTTACTGCACATTTGAAGGCGTATCATTTAAAGGTTTTTCTTTCGAGTAAGCACGGAGGCAGAAAACCCCATTTCTGTAGCTCACGTCACAGATTTGTGAACAACATGTCATTTGTCTCCTGCTTGAGAAGGTAGGCTAAGCCAAACTTTTTTGGTTTCTGAGCCCTGTCAGTCTTTCAAGACGCTTGACTTAAAACCAGATTGTCGAGACTTCAGGTGCTTACAGACTGAGAAAGCAGAAACCTGCTGCTGTTGGACTTGTTCTCTCATGTTTTTAGCTTTATTTCTTAAACTCCAGCCCATTCTCTACATGCGCATCACCTTCCAGCCAAAGGAAAATTCAGAAACTAACATTAGGAAGCACTGAAGTGGGTAAGAAAAGCTGTCTGAAAGGTGAGGAGTGCTAGCGACCCGGTCCACAGAGCCAGAGAAAACAAACGTGCAAGGGTTTTTTCATTCTGTACAATCTCTAAGAAGCCAAAGTTATCTCGTACAGAAGTACCAGCTGTTCTTCACACCACTAGCTAGTCCTGATTATAACCCCAGTGTTCAAAATAAAAAGGATTACTGCATGTACAGAAAGAACTATTGCAAGATGGAAAACGTTTATAGTTACCAAAATGCATGCAACAGCTTGTATATGTTGTTTAATTCAGTTAGCAATGGCAACATCACCTGATGTCACCACAGCTGAGATACTAACATTGCAGAAGATGAGAGACAAGAAGAGCTGCCGTATTGTCACTGCAGGTTAGTCGTTCCTCTGCCAAGTCTCTCTTAATTTGTAATGCAAACAGATACCTAAAAAGGGAGAGTTAAAAGTACAACCTTGACACGTGAAAGAATTTTAAAACAACTAAACAGGTTTGTTTGTTTGTTTTTTAATGTTTTTTAATAAGCGTCTCCTCTCTCCAAAAACAGCATAAAACGGACGCCCTACTATCAAGGACAGTCAAATAAAACTAAACAACCCATGACTAATCCAGCTGTACAGTGCAATTCAGCAGTGTACTTGGACACATGGGAATAAAGCAGCAGAAGGAAAACCCACTCTTACCAAGTAAAGTAACAGTGGTTTTAATTTTGAACTGGAAAGAAACTTAAGGAACACTTCAAGTGATGTTATCTATTAGAATAGAGATAGGAGAACGTTACTAATTTAGTGAAAAAGAGCTAATATTTCTGCTAGCCCTAGGTTAATTTACTTAGTGGCTGCATTTTCCAGCACTATAACGTTAGCAATCTATAAAGACAGTAACAAATCATATTTCCTTCTGCTGTATCACTACACTAACATAAGTAAAATATTTTCTAGATGTGTTGTTCAAGAGGAAAAGATTTCTTTTGAATAGCTTCATATTAGTAATAAGCTATCTGCAAAATATACAGACATTTTAATTTACAGAAACTCAGTAAAGCAGCTGGCAAATGTAAGTATGCTGCTGACAAAAGTAACCCATGAGAAGGATTGGTAAGAAACGTACTCAAGGACTTCTCCGGTTTAAATGATAAATCACTTATTCAAACATGTACTGATTATTTTATATGTTTTATATCTATCCATCTATACTGTTTAAATAAATATGAGTATTTCCTCTATATCCCATCTCTCTCCCATGTTCAGCAAGCCCTAACCTAACCTGCGCTGTTTTCTGCTTTGAAAAATATTTCTTCTGGTAACAATGCTCTGCCAACACGTGTCTGCTAGAAACGTGACACTAACCGAAAAGGCCTTTTCACTTATCTTCAACATAAGCCTTATTTGGAAACAGATAAAATACCCTCCTATTCTTACCTTCCTTTTATGTCAACAGGCAATGTAAACCAAATTCTTCAAGAAATACTTTACCTGGTGTACTCTTCTTGCAACTGGCCAGGATCTGGAGGGAAAAACTTTACCGCTAGACGAAGCATTGTAGTCTTTGGTCCTGTAAGAAAAATTAGTAGTTTCACAAAAAAGACCCTTGTTCTTTACAAGCACATGCGTATTATGTTTTCCTATATGCACAAAAATACAATATACGCAAATTCTAGTTAGCTTTCACCTCACCAGCTAACTGTAGGGGGCCTATACGGTATAATAGATTATACAGGTCAAAACAGATACGGCAAATTGTTCCTTTTAAAACTATCTATACTTCTTCCAGGGCATCTCTGAGGTTTGAAAGTAATGACAACAGTTTCACGCAATGCAAGAACAATAATACCTCAACACAACTACTTGATTGCGCACAAAAGCATCCTAGATAACCCAGTACCATGTGCCCCGCATGGGAGGATGGAGCAGACACATCTCAGTCTCTCCCAACACCAGCTGTCACCAATCAAGCTGTCAATGAACTGGAATTTGTGAGTCGAACTGGACCCAAGCTGGCTCCCCTCCCAGATGCTGCCTGTCTGCGGCATGCTCTCAAAGCACCCCTTGACACCCATATCTTCCCGTTTTTTCATCATCAGTCTAGACAACAGGGAGAAGACTAGTTTATGTTAGTTGTTAAATCCAAATAGAAATTCAAATAACTAACTGGAATTATCTAAGCTGCAACAGTTATTCTTCATTCAGAGGACAGAGTGTAATAATCTAACTGAATTCTGCACTGATACATTAAAGAAATAATACGGAACGAATCAATAAGACCAGAGTTTTATGTGACCAAAACAAAGAAAGCAGCTGGTATTAAAGAGCATTTCATAATGCTCTATGTAGCATTTTACCCCAAAAAAAAAAAAGCATCAGAATCGTGCTAACTTTCAACTTTACAATTCAGCCTATTGAATCGCCTGGCCCAATGTTCACAATCCTCTATTTAACCAATGTTTTTGATGGACTATTACTGAGCATCACAGTCACTTACTGTGCTGTTGCTGAATACCAGCATTCTGATTTTTTTTTTCTTTTTTTAAAACAGCAAAGACTTAATATTTTTCAGCCAATCGAAACACAAGCCAATCTTCATTTTAAAAGTATACTGTAAGTTTATGAATAGATTATCTGTACTAATTCATAAGGAACTTCCGAGCAACAAATCCCAAGATGTTATCATGACAAATTACTCGGTCTCTGAGGCTGGGCTTGATTACTAGACCACCCTTTCCAGATAACAAGTGCACTCCATTTGTCTTCTAAACCCTAATCAACACCAACAAATTAGTTACTAGAGACTAGGTAATGGCCCAAATCTCAGGAAATACAAAGACAAAAAGTCACTGTCTAGACCTTGTGTCTTGTCCCCTCGTTATTTTAAATAAATCCACTTTATATTGCTTTCATATTCGTGGTTACAACCAAGAACAGAAAAGCTCGGTCTTCTTCGATCACAGAGCGACGCCCAACCTTGGAAGGGCTTGTAAGGACAGAAAGAGGTGACAAACTGAGACCTGTCCTAGACGTGCACCTTCCCTCGGTAGTCCGAAAGGACGGGAAGATGGTCAACCTTGAACACTGAGAGCCAGCAAAGCACAAGAAGGACAAACAGCAGAAGGACAAGTGTCTTTCTCATGAGGCTATTTTGACTTGAGAGAGAGGAACTGGGGCTGGAATTTCCCTGCTACTGCTCACTCACTCTCTAGCTCAGATAGATCCAGTCTAAAAGAGAGAGGAAGACGTGGGGGAAAGGAGAAACGATAACCCCTCCTTTTATTAGGCCTCCCTTCTCCTTACGCTGTTGACTGAGTATCTACCTCCTTAAGGGCGACTTCAACAATCTGAGCTAACTTCAAAGCTGTTCCTGCTTTAAGCAGGCGTAGGACCTTCAGAGGTACCTCCCGACCTAAGTTACTCAAGGACTCTACATGCAAGCTGCCATTTCAAAGCAAACTCATCAAATTAAAAATCAACTTTTTTAGAGCACGGAGAGCTCTTCAAGCTTGATGGAAGTCCAATTTAACCTTATTAACTTCACAGTATACTGATTTTCTTCGGTCTGTAATACCCGATTTCCACATCCCCACTTCCAACAGCAGAGAATTCCTTCACGCATTCACCCTCTTATTTGCTAAGGGAGGAATGACAAATTTTGCTTTCTGCCAAATAGCTGGGAGAACTAAGTTTAAGACTATCGCAGCTGTCAGAAGAGTAGCTTCCAGCCTCACATTTCAGAATTACCAAAGCTTTGATGACTCATAACGCTAAATCCTAATCCTAATTGGAATGGGATATCTCAAAATGAAGGAAAGCTGGAAATAGAACATATTACACCAAGTTCACATTTGACAGAGACTAATACCAGACTAGAGCGTTTATAGCTTTGGAGATGCATCACATGAGGAAATGTTTTGTCTGGCAAGCAGTATTTTTAGTGATCCAGGTAATAAATAAATAAATAAAATTATATCAGCTTAAGGAAAATACTCCAACTCTTTGGAACACCTCCACAAACTAAGACTAGACACACCTGTTAATGACACCAGCCTGCTGAGAAGTATTACGACAGCAATTTTGACTAAGTTCTGAACGTCACTTACATCAAATGACAATAATGGAATATTAAAAATTTAAAACGTAGTACTGCATATTTGCTTTGATGACATGTTTGCATCGTAACTCCTTTTTGTTTTTGATTGTGCACTACCTCCATTCTAATTAGGAAAGAGGCTTTAGTGTAAAGAAATACTGGACCCACTCCTAACCTAGATGCAGAATCTTTTGTAGGAGGCCAAATCTGGAAAAACACGCACACCCACCCACACCAAACAGGTATGGTGGTCACAGTACCTGGCAGCTCCTCACAGAACGTCCCCAAATATCATCTCAATATTGTGTGCCTATTAGGAACAGAGACTGAGAACTCTACTGAGAACTGAGAGATGCATTTGGATCCAAACGCAAACCAAAATGAAAGTCAAGATAGGCATTTTCATCCGTTCTAAACTGCAATTCAGGCATTTTTCACATTAATTTATGAGGACCAACCTTGCCAGAAAGCGCACATGGAGAAAGAAGAGGAAGGGGGAGGCACTTTCATACAGAACAGACTCCTTAAGGAGGAATTCTGCCACTTTCCCAGAATTTGGAATAAGCCTTTAACACAAACCTAGACGTCTAAACACAGGTTAAAGGGATCAGTCTAACTCCTGAAGCATTCTGGCTGTCTGCTACATTACCTCTGCCACGAAAACAAATTGCCAAGATTTAAGCTCACAGTATCTGCTAAGATGAAAGATTCATTGTCTTAAGAATCACTGTAATAGCCCAAAACATTTGGAACAAACCCCTCAAAGTTATAATATTTAGAGACTGTAGATGTGGAAAACTGTCAGTTTATTTCCTTGGGAGCAACATTAAGCTGATGCTGAACATGCTTGAAAGCCGCATACCATATCCCTGAAAGCCCACATACAAAGTCATTCTTCTACTCTTGGCACGGACATGTAAATTAAAACCTTGTTGCAACCAAATGCCACAAGCATGAAATCTTTCCCTGTAAATTCTCCATCTCAGCAAAAATACACAATGATTAAAATTTGGATCAAAACATGGAAAGCCTTTTCTAATTTCAAGTGGTTCCTTGTCTTATTCAGAGGCAGCAGATCAGGCTTCTGCTCTAATAACTACTGTATTAAAATGGGGTCCACAGAGATACTTATGTAATAAATAAAACTATATTAGCATGCATTTTAACTCCTGTTAGACCACTAAACCGTAACACTTTATCCAATGCGCTGGAATAGTTCTATAATAAAACTGATTGCGTTCCTTATGAAATTGTTTGATAATAAAAATCCTCAAACAAAACAAAGTTTCATCTCTCTCAAAACAGGCCATTAGCTAAGACTGACTGGAACATAAATTTTAAGGATTCAGACTTTATAACAATTATCACGTCAAAGACTCAGAACTGCATACATACAATTATACAGCAATCTCCATCAACTCCATATATTAGCATGTTGGAACTGTATTAACTTAAAGCCCTTGATAACATCTAGGATTCTCCAGCTGCTGCGTCCGCACCCCAGAAAACCCCCAAGGACCTCAGCAAAACTGATTAAAGAGCGGAGCACAGGTAAAGACCTCTCACAGATGCTGAGTTCAGGCATTTCTTAATAGCATGAACAAACTCATCAAACCTCACTTTCCTTTTCAGTTGTAACACACAAAAAAAGAAACCTGTCCATCTGAAACGCGTTAGTGCTAAAGGCCCAGCATCTCACACATACTTGAGGATGAAGCACATTTAAATTTAAGGCATTTCACGTAAAATGAAAAGCATTTAATTGTACTTCTTATACTTTTTTAAAGCTTTGGAGGCGGAAAAAAGCTGCGTTTGGAGCAAGCCCACATAGGAAAGGGCTAGCCATTTCAAAACAGGCGTGTGCGACCACCTGCAAGTTGTGCAGCACTTTCGCTTTTCTTTGAGAGTCGCATGCACAGAAGCACGCTTACACAGGGGAGAGCACATCGCCTTGCGCTTGCTGGGCTTGTGCCGCTGCCAAGCGAGGCAGCCTGGACCCAGCGGCTCCACCACGTGCGTTAGCGCAGCGCCGTGCCCAAACCCCTTGCTAACCCAGCTACACCGACTCCAGCTCGGCACCGGCGCGCTGGGAGGCAGGCTGAGGGGCAGCAGTAGCACCCGAAGCAGAAAAGCAGGCAAGGCAGCAGTGGCGATGGGAGAAGCAAAAAAGGAGTCTAGACCGGGCAGAGAGGCACGAAGGAAGGGTAGCCCTAACACGGCCAGGGAACGGACAGATTGAAGCCGAGGGAGATTTGGCCAGGGTTACATTGCTGTATTTTCAGATGTACAAATCTTTCCATGACTGCAGCTTGCTTAGTCCATTACTTCCGAAACATACATGTTGTCTGGTAGTTAAATTAATTCTCCTCTTAAGGCTCAGTACTGTCAGAACTCTTCTTGAAGATGCTCATATGCAATCATATGTCAGTTATTGGATTCAATTAAAAAAATCGCTTAAATGACTATTTACGCAATTAACATTTTACTTGTAAGCACAGACATCTTCAAGGCTTTTACAGTCATAACTCATTTCAATTTTAAAAATAGCAGAACGCCCGGAGAGGATTCCATTAGCATTAAAAAAGCACTCTCTCCTGAGCTACCAAAAACTTCACAAATTTAAAAGTGACTTCCAAACTTTGAAGTTTAACATGTGACAGACAACAGACTGATGTCTCCTACAGCTTAAGGGCATTTCCTAAGAATCCATTTGACATTAACAGCAATATAACGTGGATGGGAGACCACCAAACAGCAGACCAGCCATAAATTTTAGCACATCCCCATGGCCTCAGACTACTTAAGAACAAGATATGTATCATCAGGGAACACATGGCCATCAGCACGTGGTCTAAAACCAGGTTTCTTCATTTTATATAGTATAAAAGAGGATACAGAAAGAGTAATCAAGCTGCACTACTGCATCACGGATCTCTCTGTGATCCATCAAATCTTTTCTCTAGCAGCTAATTCCCTCCAACAAGGAGCATCGGGAAAAAATGGAAAAGCAAACAAACAAACAAAAAAACCCAAAACTGCGTGGAGTATATAAAAAGATAACACTCCAACAATGACACTTTTTTTTTTGTGGACTAATAGAGAGTAAAAGTATTATATAAGCTCTTAAGCAAGCTTTCTTTTATGGCTGGCTTGACTCTTCCTCCAAGAAAACAGTGACCATAAAAGCTAAAACTGTGACCATAAAAGTTAAAAAACCTTGCACCATCACCCATCTAGAAGTGGTGATTTCTTATTTTTCAGAAATCAGTTTCAGGCATAAGAGTAACTAAGATATACCTCCAAGTACCATTTTTCAACATTTTTCAGTTAAGATTTTAGACGGAGCAGAAATCCACCACACCTTCTTGAACTTATTCTTCCACAAAGCCATTACAATCAGAAGCAGAAAATGAGCAGTTTAACTCAAAAAAGGAAAAAAGGATCTAATCTTTCAACCTCAGACTTCAGAAGAATTAGCACACCCTATTCTTCAACATACTTTTAGCTTTTAAAGTGCATGCTATATTATTCTTTAGAGTAGTATAAGACAAAGGTAGCATCACCATTGCAATATCCTATTGGCCAAGGAGTTGAAACAAATTTCACAACTGCAGTTAAGAGGATTCTGAGACTGCAACCACTCATGTGACGAGAGATCATAAGCTCTAGTCTCTCAGTTAAGGTGTTCCTAAAAAAAATTCTCTGAATCTCCTTAAGAACATAGGCAGCTGCTGATGGCCACTGAATGAGATGGGAATATTCATCCCCTTGAAATTCAGCGAGTATTGACAATTTCTCAGTTTTGTCTGGCAAGACAGAACAACGGAGAGGTAAGTTTAGCTTGTACTGTCCTTTTGAAAGGCACATCACCTCTCAAACAGTCATGACCACAGATACTGCCTTCTCCCATACAATGGGTGCAATAAGCCAGAATATTCCTTTTTCTTTCCCTCACGAGACAAGGCAACTTAGCAAAGCTTACACACTGCAAATGTCATGTTTCACTTAAACAGTTGCTGATCCAATCTAGATATTTATCACAGACAGGAGTTTCATGTTTAGAAATTTCGCATTCCACCCACCACATTCTACATTTCAAAAACATCAGGTTTGCATGCCCAAGCAGGAACTACTATCACCCCCTACCAAATACAATTTTCAAGGAAGTAAAACCAGTAAATCAAGTAGTAATTATGAAAGTAACCCACATAAAGCAGATGCAAATTAAGGAAAACTTCCTTTTTAAAAACTAAATTACTTACTCCGTACTTGTTTAATAACAGGTTTCATAGGTTCCAGCCAAATCTGAAATTAAAGAAAAAAAATATTAAAAACTGACATTCACATTTGAATAAAACATGAAGACATCAAAAGTAAATTCAAAGAAAGCAGTTCTTTATGAGTATGTATTTATTTCTCACTGTAGTATTGCAGCACCTCTTTCCTTTAAAAAAAAAAAAAAAGGATTTATCTACTTGAATTGACATATATCACGCATCAATACGGAAACCCTCACTGATCAATGCTTAAAGCTGGCCTGGACAGAGGAAGAAGAGTCACTTCAACAAAAGCACGTCACCAGTGCCGGAAAGATAGAAACCACGGGAAAACATAACACTACTTAGAAGCCAGAGTACAGAATTACAGAAGGTCTAGAGGACACGACAAAGTCCAACTTTTTCCCCCTCCTGCAGTACGCCTCTCTCTCTCACCTATAGGAATGATATATAACGAGTTTTACTCCATATACGTTTCCCACAAATTAATTCACTTTTCATGAACAGACTTTCAAATAAACACTACTGTCATTCTAGTAAAAGGAACGTCCATAACGCTAATACAAAGTATTTTGGATGCTCAATTTTTTTTTTTTTTTAATAAAAAATTGTAACAAAGCAATGGTTTTAGTTTGGTCCTTAATAGTTACTTCTGTGTGAGAGCCAGCTGAGGATTTTTAAGAACCTCATTAGACACAGACACACTTCGGACGCTTTCTAAAAGAAACAGAAACCGAACAAGCTCTGCTGTAGTTCCTTAGCTCAACAGCAGTAGGCATCAGCATTCTCTAGGTTCCAAGTCATTCTGAGTATTTTCTGCGTGTGAGAGCTAAAACTAAAAAAATTAAGAGAGAAAAATAACGACGACTTTGAGGAAAATTTTAGTTTAGAAGTGACACTGTGCTACAGGGTAAGAAACTGGGAGACTTACAGAACGTTAGTATTTACCCAGATCAATGATTAAAAAATAACGTAGTTCCAAACGTTCACTGGAGTCAGTATTTATTTGTGAGAGGTTCATAACGATCCTTTGGAGAAATTACCTGAAGGCAGAGGTAAGTATCAACACTAACAAAATGCTGCACGCATGTAACGTGATTTTCTAAGTGCTCTGCAGACTACATTGTGAGCTGCTACTTTTCATGCAGAAGGAAGATTTTATCCATGTCCCTGGAAGTGGAAATATCAGAAACTACATAATCGTTTTATGCATAACAAGCAAGCTCTAACAAGAAATAGAACCCGATTCTCTTCCTCTTCTTTATTAGTTGCCATTGTTCTGATGAGTGAAGCAGATTTACGATAATCAAATCAATTATCCTACAAGAGACTCAAGCAGATTTAAAAACTTCTGACAATCAAGCAACCGCATTCCCCCAAACCTTTTTATTATAAAGCATTCATCAGAAAGTTTTACATACCCAGTATGACTGGATGTTCTGGAACTCAACTCCAAAATAGTCTGATTCAATCAAATTCAGATGCTTGTAAACTTCTGTCAGCAATGCCTGTCCATAGCATTTCGACTAAGAAAGTAAAAACAAATACAGAGAGATGAAGTAATTAAGATGATTTAGAACTTTTGGCAAAGGAGCAGTCAGATACGGCATCTATAAAAGCTACAGAAAAATATCTCCACAGTTTTTCACGTTGTTATCATTCACCACCTTTGTTGCTGTAACACCTAAATACCCACAATACGGACGTGGCTCTCAACAAACAAGCTCGCAAAGAATCGCAGAGTAGTTCAAGTTGCAAAGGACCTCTGGAGGTCATCTAAGTCCAACCTCCCGCTCAAAGCGGGGTCAACTATGAGATCAGACTGGATCAGCTACAAACTATTTGCGGTTCCTTCAACAAACTAGCATGATTTGTTTGTGTAGCCGGAAGGTGCGGCTCCCCCCCAGCTTACGCTGACGGAGGCAGGGCCCCCCCCCTCCCCCCAGCCACACGCTCCCTTCCCTGCAGCAACACCGGGGACCACACAAGCACGTGGTGAAACAAGTGAACAAACTAATCCAACCAAAAACTAGCACCTTTTCTTTCCCCATAAACTACGTTTTTACCCAGATTACCTCCCTCCACCAGCTCGTTGTACGGTTACACGAGTACAATGAAGGGCTGGGAACGCGCGGCCCGAGGCAGGGCCGGATTCAACTGAAACGCAGTTTAGCTCAGGTTAAGCCAGCAGGAAACTGCACTTTTCAGATACACCCGAGCGCTCCTCTGTGCAGCGGAAGGTACGCTAGTCAAGAAACACTTCTCAACCCCAACAAAAAAGCTGCAGGGCTAATCTAATACCTTCTTTAGGCCTCTGGACTTTTCTGTACCCAGGAAAGAGTCGTAAATTTATGCGGACACTCTGAATCAGTTAAGGAAGACAAAGACGGCTAGTACAGCGTTCCTGGCGCTCAGTTAGGATCTACCTTTGACCTAAGAACCCTCAACCAGCGCCCCAGGAAAGCAAGAGGACTTTGCAAACAGGCCTGCGTTGGGCCAAATTCACAGCCCCCAGTGACCACGCAGACGCATCTAAGGTTGTTACCGGAGCATACGCGAGGCCTTTGTTGATAAAGCTAAAATTTAGATTCTAGGAAGAAAGTCTTTAAAAATCTAACTCTCAAAACTTCTCTCTTGCAACGACGTTCAAGAAAACCCAGTGTAATTAGTAGTTTTTGGTTTGGGTTTTTTCTTTTTTGGCAGTTAAGAAATACACAAGAGGGCTCCAGCTCTCTGACAAAGCAGCTCCTCTCACACCATGCTTTCTGTATAAAGTCATTTACAACGGACTCCCTCAAAACACCCTGCTCACTAAACCTTTACACAACCTTTAGTCAAGTTGGGTGCAAAAGCCATGAAACAAACATCCGCAGAAAGTAGCTAATACAGGACAAAACGAAAAACTTTCACGACACACCAAAGCACCACCACTTAGGTCTGCTTACTAAAACAAACAAATTTGCTCTCAGCATCTGCTACTGCACGACTGCAGCAGCTGCCACAAGAAAAGCACTGTTTACGAACCTGGACATCAGTGCACCTAGACCACACAGAAGGCGGCTCAGAGAGTTTTCATATCCCTTGTTGCCCGTTTCAACAAGGCACAACAGCTAGAGGGAAGATTAGTTTGTGTTGCAGCTGGAGGAAGTCTCAGAGCCACCGAAATCCATATTCTACCTTTGACCAGGGTGAGCCTCCTTCAGTACCCAAGGGAGACCTTCCGCTTACCCGAGGAAACGTTGGACCGTCCAACCGACTGCCCATCCCACGTGCAGAGCCCACACCACTTGTTTCCTCTGCGGCCACTCCGCAAACGCTAGCATAGGACCGCCAGCTAGAGGGATTTCCTTGCTGAGCAAAGTCAGTGGACCAGCACAACGGGCTCTCAGGCCAACAAAAGGAAAATATAGTATGAACTTATCTAAAACACGTTCCTGACGAGACGAGACAGACTAACCGTGCAATTCATTCTTGAAGAAAGGGGAGAGCACGCTTTAGCCATGAACGAGGAGGGCAGCACGGCACCGGGATGTCACTTCGCACACGATTCCCTCACAAACAGCAGATGGAAACTCACTGCCCTCTCTCTCTGCACATTGGCTGGCAAAACGGTTCTCAGTTTCCCCCCTCTGGCTTTTCATTAATACTGCTCTTCAAAACGCAGTGCTGGCAGTCAGGTTTCAGGAGCAGCTTTCAAGAGGCGCTTGAGGAAGGAATTCTGGCACTACGGTGACAGCGGCCTGTACAACTTTGGTTCGTCACGTGTTCCAGCAAAACACACCTGAGGCATTCGTGCCACCGAGGGAGACCTTGTTTATTTGGAGAAGTCACAACTCCAGAAGACTCTGTAATGTTATCTTTCCCCATTAAAAGAGAAAGCACAGACAGTTCTGCCCCTGATTCTTAGGAGATGCACTGTTCCGAGTTTTAAAAGTATGAAAGTATTGTTATTATAGAGGACGGTTAGTATTTAATTAAATGTGCAAATAAAAATAACTACCATAGAGTGAGCCATCTTTGTTTAAAATAAGGATGTTTTTAAAAAAAAAAAAAAAAAAGTGCATTTATTTTACCTTACTGAGAGTCTTAAAAATTCAACAGCGATTGCTTCTAACAAGACAAAGGCAAGGTAATTAACTGTTGATGCTTCCAGAACTGTGCAATTTAGCTCAATATCTCCGTGCCTCTTCTGAACATTTTAATAAGAAGTAGAAGATAACTCTGCAGCGTCGAACAATCTGAAAGAGCTGTGGTACTTGTTCTGGTGCAAACAGAGGTGCCCGAACTCAGCGCCGTAACAAAGGAGGAAAGGACAGAAAGAAGAGATACGAAACCAGCACACCTTTGGTGCTTGCAAGAGCCAGTGGTTACCAACGAGGGCAACCAAGGGTTTGAAACGCAAGTGAAGTGAATTCACGCGGCACAAATACTGTTCATTCAGAAAGTTTCTTCCTATTGCATTGAATCAGGCCACTGATACTGAAACGCCCAAATGATCCATTTCTTGCTCACTTCGATCGATACAGAGTTAGGGGGGGTGAGAGATGGAGCACCCAGTAAAACTGAGTGACAAGGAGTGTTTTTTCCTCTTTTCTAGACGAGTCTTGTGATGTTTAAAGTGGCATTTACTTTGTAAGAATACAACTGAATGTTGGTCAAAATCTTTGCTTGCAGAAGAGTCTGTGGTTTTGGAGGTCTTTTTTGGTTTTTGTTTTTTAAAAGATGACAATGAAAAAACAATGATACAGGTAAGGGTAAAGCACAACCCCTTCAATAAACAACATTTTTTCTCTTCTGTCTACAGGCATGTTCTCATGCTTCTTACAGACTGCTTGCCACAGAACTCGCAGGCTGTTGGAGAAATGCATTTTGAAAATTTAACTTTAACTTTCCAGTGAAATACATTTCTTGCTTTGCACTTGTAAATAAGTCTTAACATAGTAACAGAAGAAAACAAATATCCTTAAATATGGTAGGACTTAAAAAAATGTATAGATACACATGCATTTTATTTTATTGTACGCCTCTTGTTCACAAGCATCACACATTTGAGAAGGAATCTTTTTTAGCCAGCAACATCTGCTGGGGATGCAGCAGTACCATGACTAGCCTCACACTTCCTTCTACAAAGATGGGACAGGTCAGCCTGTCTTCTGCAGATACATTTATTAATCTCTAGACCTCATCGACCAGAAAGTGTCCTGTAATCTGCAATTTCTCATTTGTGAAATGACTTCTGTAGAATTTATAAGTTTGGATTAACCTGTGAGAGATGCCCAGTGATAGCACACAGTTTGATTGTAAAACTGGTATAACTGTTCTGATTAAGACCCATCTATGGCTATCTATATACAGCTGTTAAAACAATTATCCCAATCAAATGACATTGTAATGTACAGCGGGAACGTCGCACAGGTTTCTGCCAATCGCTCCATGCACCACGATCAAACAGCACTCCATCTCTGTGACTCCACCAGCTTTGTGCCTGACGATGGTCCAGCTGCCTTCATGCTCCAGTCCCTAGAAAAGGTGTTCATGTTATTCTTTTTGGCCATATCCGTACCACACTGGCACCTCTCTTATGTGACTACTGAGGTTGCACTGGGAGTATGGTGTCGTTTTCGGCCCCTATTCAAGAGCGATGTGGAGAAACTGGAGCAGGTCCAACAGAGGACAACTAAGATACTCAGGGCCTGAAGCACATGCTCCAGTAGGAGAAACTAAGGAAGCTCAGCTTGCAGAGAAGATGCTAAAGGGAGATCTAATAACTGTCTACGCCTATTTGTGGGGTAGTTATATAAATGACTGAGCCAATGTCTTCTTAGAGTCAAATGATACAGCAAAAGGCAACAGCCTTCAAGTCGGACGTCAGGAAACATCCCTTTCCCAAAAGGGTTGGGCAGCACTGAGCAGGTTATTCAAAGAGGCCACAAGATCGCCAATGCTGATGTTTTCAAGACTTGCATAGACAAAGTCATAGCTGCCCTGGTCTAGTAATGGCAACAGTCCGGCTTCAAGAGGGAGAGGGGACAAGATCTCTGGAGATCCACATCAACCACCATTTCTCCGATTCTCTCTGAGACCGTTTGGAAAAGTAACTGTCACTGAAATGCTTTCACATACAGTTTCTGTAAGCAATCTGACTCTAGTTTATCCAAAGAGCTTCCTTCCTTTATGAGACCTAGTTGTGCCTTTTTAATGTTGCAGTTGAGTCTTAAGATAGAACCACGTTACTGTTTATAGACCCTGGCCTCACAGGCCACAACAGGGTCAACCTCAGTACATCTAAATATCCAAATCACTGGCCTTGAAGGATTAGGGCAAATGTAAATCAAGGACAAGAAGAAATAAAAACACACTCTTGTTCCGCTTCACCCAGTGTAACTCAGATCTTACTCCCAAATTTAAGAACAAAAATCAAATCAATGGAATATTAGCACAAATATTTTTGCCATTTTGTCAAAAAAAAAAAATCACCTCTTCTGATTACTTCCCATTACAAACGTACAATGTCCCATCCAACCAG